AATTTACCTACTACTCCCTCCATAACATTTTTACCCACTTTAGCATTGAAATCCCCAACCACCATTACTCTCACACTTGATTCAAAACTCCCCACGCATTCACTCAACATTTCCCAAAATCTCTCTCTCTCCTCTACACTTCTCTCTTCTCCAGGTGCATACACGCTTATTATAACCCACTTTTCACATCCAATCTTTATTTTACTCCACATAATCCTTGAATTAATACATTTATAGTCCCTCTTTTCCTGCCATAGCTTATCCTTCAACATTATTGCTACTCCTTTTTTAGCTCTAACTCTATTTGAAACCTCTGACCTAATCCCATTTATTCCTCTCCATTGAAACTCTCCCACCCCCTTCAGCTTTGTTTCACTTAAAGCCAGGACATCCAGCTTCTCATTCATAACATCCACAATCATCTCTTTCTTATCATTTGCACAACATCCATGCAAATTCAGACTTCCCACTTTGATAATTTTCTTCTTATTCTTTTTAGTAATCCTTACAAGAAAAGGGGTTACTAGCCCATTGTTCCCGGCATTTTAGTTGACTTTTACAACACACATGGCTTACGGAGGAAAGATTCTTATTCCACTTCCCCATGGATATAAAAGGAAAAGCAATAAGACCAAGAACTATTAAGATAAAATCAAAGAAAACTCAGATGAGTGTGTATAAATAAATGTGTACATGTATGTGTAGTGTTACCTAAGTGTAAGTAGAAGTAGCTAAATGGGAGTATGAAATTAATGTGTCTAGGGATTCGAAAACTAACCCAAAAAGATTTTTTCCAGGTGTGTAGACCTAATTTAGAGATAAGATAGGTGCCCTTAAAAATAACTATGGGAATCTTACTGACAAAGAGAAAGAAATGTGCTCGATTTTAAATAATTATTTTCTCTTGGTTTTTACACAGGAAGACACTGACAATATTGCAGTAATGAATTTTTATAGTGGGCCTGAAGAAGATAAATTATGTAACATCACAGTCACTAGTGAACTGGTTATGAAACAAATAGACCGACTGAAACAAAATTAATCGTTGGGTCCTGATAAGCTTTTCTCAAGGGTTCTTAACCTTTTCAGGGTTTCCGACATATTAGTACGGCTTATGCACCAGGGTTTTTGACGTACTAGTACATCTAAATTCTAGCGCACTCAAATCTAGTGAAAGCTGGTAGGCCTATATATGAAAGAATGGGTCTATGTGGTCAGTTTGCGCAGTATAAAAAAAATCCTGCAGCACACAGTGCGTAACGAGAAAAAAAAAACTTTGACAGTGTTTTTGGTTTAAAACCGACTTTGCACTGTATTTTCATATTGTATTCTAGTTTTCCTGGTCTCATTTTATAGAATGGAAGACATAATACAGAAATTGAGATGATTTTGACTGGTTTTACAATGAAAAGTACCTTGAAATTGAGCTCAAAGTAGCAGAAATCTTTGAATTTTGCAAAAGTTCAAAAGTAAACAAATCATGCTATGCGTCCGATACACATCAACTGGTGAGTCTAATATTCTTTCACAAGTGCACTAATATTATTTATACCATTTCTACACTAATGCAGTAGTCTGCATAACAGTAAATCTTCTATTTTTTGTGACAATAAAAATTCAAAGTGGAAAGCAAAAGAATGTAAGAGGAGTGTGGGGACATGACTAATGAACAGAGGAAATGTTATTTTAGTGCCAGGAATGTCTTTCTTGTTTATTCTGGACTCTATTTGGAAACTGGCATCTTTGAAATTTGTGTGAAATTAGCAAAATTGCTAAATTCTGACCACTTTATTGGATAGTTGAAATCAGTAAATGGGTGGTTTCTTGTGCTCATTCGATAGAAAATATGGAGTTTTAGCGAAATACTGTAGTTATAATTTTGGTCGACTAGTACACTGGAATTGGCCTGAAAATAGGGCTCAAAGTGGGCAAAATCGCTGATGCGTAAACATCGTCGAGACCGCTAACTTCGCGAGAGCATAATTCCCTAAATTTTCCATCAAATTTCATACTTTTGGTGTCATTATAATCGGGAAAAGATTCTCTATCTTTTCATATTTTTTTTTTTTTTTTTAAATTTGGCGACCCTGAGAACAAGTCTGGGAGAGGGCCTGTCGAAATGGAACACTGTGAACCATTAACTAATATATTTAATTTATCTCTTCAAACAGGTGTAGTGTAATATGTGGAAGATGGCCAATGTAATTCCTATTTTTAAAGCAGGGGACAAGTCGTTACCGTCAAATTACTGCCCAATAAGCCTGACCTCAACTGTAGGCAAATTACTAGTCAATTATAGCTGAGATTATAAGAAGCCATCTGGATAAGTACAATCTGATTAATGATAGTCAGCATGGATTCACAAGAGGCCGTTCTTGTCTAACTGATTTATTAACTTTCTTTCAGTAAAGCTTTTGAGGCTGTTGATCACGATAAAGAATTTGATATTGTTTACTTGGATTTTAGTAAGGCTTCTGATAGAGTACCGCACCAAAGACTGTTAAAGAAAGTAGCAGCTCATGGCACTGGGGAAAAAGTGCTCTCATGGATCGAGTCATGGCTCACAGACATGAAGCAGTGTGTGCATAAATGGGGTTAAATCCGAGTGGGGATCTGTAACAAGTTGCGTTCCACAAGGATCAGTCTTGGGCCCGATGTTGTTTATAATATACACTGGACCCTTGGATAACGATGCCATCGGACAGCGATAAAATCGGATACCGAATTGATTTTTCCACACATACATGCGATATATTTTGCATTATTCCATTGTTTTTAGTACTTGTAACTGCTAAATAAGCCACCATGGGCCCAAAGAAAGCTTCTAGTGCCAGCCCTGTGATAAAGAAGGAAAGAAACAATAAAATTAAAGAAAAAACTCGAAGCAGAATACCAAAGTGGAGGAGGATTAGAAAGGCTAAACGTGACTTTGAAATTAGAAGTGCTAATGAATCAAAGACCAATCCAAAGAGGTTCTTTCAAGTGTATAGGACGAAGGTGAAGGAAAAAGTAGGACCTCTGAAAATTGGGAATGGACAGCTGACGGATAACGAACTGGAAATGTGTTCCATATGATGGCCAATGTGTTAAAAAACTTGTGAAGCAATTGAACGTGCCTGTGTGTGTGTGTGTGTGTGTGCATGTGTATTTACAGTGATGTGTATCATTGTTTTGTAAACAAAATACTGATGGCACTGTTAGTGCAAGTACATACTATGTTGCATACAAAGGTTAGTCATATGAACACTTCATGAAATGGGTATCAAAAACTAAATAAAATAACACACACACACATTGGCAATTGCCAATGTTGCCATCTGCAAGTCAACAACCTTCAATTTCACACCTTCATATTTGGTAAGTACTGATGGGGAAAATCTGTTTCAGGTTTCCTTACACTCACTAAAGTAGATTTTTTCTGAGAATTTTTTTTTTTTTAAATCATGACACTGTCAGTACTTTTAACCCTTAAACTGTCCAAATGTACATCTACGTTTTTTCAACATTTGAAAGTATGTAAAAAAAGTAGATCTTTTTTTTTTGTTATATTTGAAAATATGTAAAAAAAAACGTAGATCTACTTTTGGAGCACTACACATGTGAACATAGATCTGCTTGGACAGTTTAAGGGTTAATTTTAGAGGTCGCAAAAGTGAAAGGATTAAGGAACTATTCTAATTAGAGAAGCACTGCACACAATAACCCAAGATATGGTAGATAAAATAAGCCAAACAGACTAAAGAAACATTAATTTTCACACAAACTTCTAGATTACTAATAGGGGTATCAGTCATGGTACCAAGAAGAAAGGGCATGGTGGGCTTCAGCCTCCAAAAATTCCCTCAGCCCCCCTCAAATAAAAACAGAATAATAACGCTGCTGCTTTGAACCAAGTCTCCTGGTACCATATGGTACATTGCACCACATGGTACCATAAGGTACCACTGCACCATATGGTACCATTGTACCAAATGGTGCCACTGTACCATTATATCATATGGTGCCATTGTACCATATTGTACCATTAGTACCACTGTACCATATGGTACCATTGCACCCTATAGCACCATTGTACCATATGGTACCATTGTATTCAACACAATAACCACACTAGTATTTTCATCATTTTGTTTACAATAAACTTGTAAACAAGTTTTGTAAGCAATATAATGATAAACAAATTAGTGCAGTTATTGTGTTGAATACAATGAGTGTATGCTTATACAATATACATTATATTGGTCTCACAGGCCACAAATGTTACTAGAAAAAGAAAAAAAATTGAAAAGAAAAGAAAAAAGTATAAAAAACGTAAAATAAAAAAAATCAATTTTGTGGAAGTTGCCGATGTTGCCACCACCCGGTCATTTTGGGTCAACTTCCCGTCGCTGTATCTCGGTAAGTACTGATCAGAATTTTTTTTTTATTTTGTTTTATTACCTTCACAAAAATATTATCTTTAATTCTGTAAGAAAAAAATCATTTTTTTTTTTTTTTCAAGATTTCTTGGACACTGGGGGCACCCCTTCAGATTTTGGCCTTGGACCCTGAAAGGGTTAATGGCAGTTCACAAAAGTTTGACAAGTTATGAGAAAAAATTAACAGGTTATCACAATTTCACAGATAAAGTGGACATAATTTTTTAAAGGCACGAGGAAAATAGAACCAAGAATAACAAAGTTAAATAACTGTAAAGCAGCCTATGGATATTTAAGGCCAGATATTCAAGGGAAATTCTTAAAGAAAACATTTTATCAAGAGAAATGGCTATATATTATTTCAACAAAAAATGACAAAACAGAAGTTGAAAATGGTTTAAGGCAATGAATAGACAGCTGGAGGCTCCATGCATGCCTCCATAAATTAAACAAAATTATGTGAAGAATGTGAATGAAAAAAAATTTAGTGAAGAATATATGAGGCCTAAAAATAGGACTGCATTACTTCATTAATGCAAGACATGAAACTTACGAAAATACCATACAAAAAAAAGGTCTTACCTTAGTTTAATCTGCACCTGTGGGTTTCTGGTGGCGAGGCCGATCCTTTGGGGTAAGCTTCATAAACGCCTGAGTCTCCAGCTACAGACTCATCGCTCACTGCCGCTGACATTGTCCGTGCATTTAAATCTTCACTTTCCCCAATGCCTTCCTCCTCCTCATCCACCATTTCATATAATACATCACTATCACCACTTGCCCTACCTAGTAACACACCACTAACACTTGTGTTTGCTATATTAAACTCATATTCTGTCAATTCCTTCACTTGTTTGTTTACTACCAATGTGGTGTCCAATGGTTTACCAGTAACTTTTGCTACATGTGAAGTTGATAAAGCACCAGGCTCAGTCGTGGAAGGAGTGAGACACAACTCTGCTAAGCGGTCCTGTACAGTACTAAGATCTACATTGGCTAGTGGTCCATTCCCCATACAACCCCCTTCTCCTGGAGTAAATCGAGGTGGCCCAAGAGGGTCCATGCCTGAGAGTGCTTCACAGGCAGAGGTAGGCGGGAGAGAGAAGAGAGGGAACTCCGTGGAGATAAGGATAACATAGACTGAGACAACGCAGCAGAGTTTCCACTACTCTCTTCTAGGGATCGTAATTTTTCCGCATACTGCCTGTCAGCTTCTGAGTTGGACTTCAATAACCTTTCAACACGTTTCTGAAGTTCTGTCATATTAAGAGCAACATGCTCACTTGAAGAATATTGTTGTCCACCATATATATCAGTAAATGACAAGCTGGATAATGACCCCTTGCTGGATGTGGACAGTGATCCTAATGAAGACGATGATGATACAGAAAGAGTTGATGCAGACAGTGAACGCAGCTGTCCTTCAAGACCAACCATAATACGCACAGTATCACGCAAACGGCACAAGAGATCTTGTCGTTGTTCTTGTAAAGACAATCGCTCTGCCACTGCTTTGTTACTAACCTCTAAGGCCTTCGCTAAGTCACACTCAAGTTGGTTAATTTTATCATCCAGTTCACATGCCTGAGGATACAAGCATACAATTAGAAAAGTTCATATATAATGCAAGAACCTCTAATTACTAAATGCTTGGCAACCATTTTCTATAATAAAGATGAGAAATATAAAGTTACATGAACATTCCTTATGTGGAATAGGCAATTTCATTACTTAAATTGTAGTAAAAACATATTAATATTTACAGAAATAATGAAACTGCATGAGCAAATTTTCCAAAAGAAGATTACACTTTGGAAGCTACAAAATTAAAAGTTACTCTTGTCTATATTCTTTCTTTCAACGAACCGGCCGTATCCCATATATCCACGTCCCATACATTCATGTCACAAAACCCACTGATTATTTCACAAAATTTAGTCCTGAGGGTATTGCTCCAATAATTCTGTTATATTAGTAGTACTATTCTGTAAAATCAAACTAACGTTCACCAAAGATGAGTGAATTAACAAGTCCAGGAGAAAGCTGAAGTGTACCTGCAGTGGGTCATGAGTGTATGATCGAACACTTCGAAATTCCCTAAGCAGCTGCTCCTTCTCTTGAATAAGAACTACCCGGTCACGGTCCCCTTGTAAATCCTCCGGTGATAATCTCTCTTCTAGTCCAGCCAAATCGTGCTGCAGCCCCTTCAGTGTACTCTTTGCAGAGTCATATTCTAGTTTTAGTCTTGTAAGCTCAGCCAAGCGTGCACCAAGAGGCATACCCTGAAGAAGAATATACTGTATAAATGCAATGATGATGAGACATCAGAATACATTCAAGATTTCTAAGTATTAATTCAAATATTCAGTGAAATATAGGTAAGCCATACCTCCCCACCAAAATCAGTCTGTGATGCAGTACTATGTTTTTCAGAGGACTTTTCCAAGTTTGACTCAATAGTTTGTGTTGTTTCAGCAGAAATAATGTCTTCCCTCAACACTGTCAGTGATTTGATGAGTTCTGCTTTTTCTTTCTCTCCCGCACGAAGTGATTCTTCAATGTTCTTAAGCTCAGCAATAATAACTTGAGCTTCTTCAACACTATAGCCTGTTGTCAGCCCACTTAACTTTTCTTGAACTCTGTGGAGTAAAACATATATTTAGTATTTATTAGAAATACAGTGGAACCTTGACTTACGAGTGTCCCAACTTAGGAGTTTTTTGAGATACGAGCCATCCCTGGGTCAATTTTTTGCAATGAGTTACGAGCCAACATTTGAGTTATGAGCCAGCTCCCCCCTCCCTCTTCCCCCTCAGCCCAAAACCTGGACACCTCGCTTGTTTATCTATGATTTCATGCTTTAATTCCATGGAAATTATTCTCTTTTTCTTCTCAGAAATAATAATATAATAATAATACTATATATTATTAGTCAAGTCACTCAGTAAGTCAGTCAAGTCACTCAGTAGGTCAATCAAGTCACTCAGTAAGTCAGTCAAGTCATTCAGTCAGTCAGTCAAGTCATTCAGGAAGCCAGGTCACTCAGTAAGTCAGTCAAGTCACTCAGTAAGTCAGTCACATTACTTAGTAAGTCACTCAGTAAGTCAAGTCACTCAGTAAGTCAGTCAAGTCACTCAGTAAGTCATTCAGTTCAGTCAGTCACACACATTCAATTAACCTCTTTTTTTGTGTACAAAGTAACACTTCAGTTACGGCTACAGGTTATCACTTGTTTAATATCTTTGTTAATTCTAAGACTTAGTGCTTATACGTCTTCGTGCCGCTCTCAGCAACACTGGTATGGCTACTGGGTGTCATGATTGCTTGCCAGATACAAGATATAGTAATTAAAATATCATAACAAAATTGACAAACACAGCTGCCTTGTAGGAGAGAAAGACTGAACACCTATGAGTCAGGAATGCTGGAATGATGTTGGGGTATGGTAGGGGATGGTGGGGGGGGGGAGTGGTAGGGGATGGTGGAGGGGGGGGGAGTGGTAGGGGATGGTGGGGGTGTCAGGGAGTGGTAGGGGATGGTGGGGGGGTGTCGGGGAGTGGTAGGGGATGGTGGGGTGGTGTCGGGGGTGGTGGTAGGGAAGGGCTCCCCGGCTGCTCTACAACAAGGTGACCGCTTGAGCAAGAGAATTTTTTTTCCTTCCCACAAACCGAACCATGTTAAATTAATTATACAACATGTTACATAAAATTGTGCAGCAATTCTTCAATGGCGGTCTAATGTATTATTATAATAACGACAGAGCTTCAGTTCCCTAAATTAATAATAATAATAATAATAATAATCATAATAATATAATAATAAATTATTATAACGATAGAGCTTCAGTTCCCTAAATTATAATATTATTATTATTATTATAAATTGTTATAATAATAATAATATTATTATTATTATTATAACAATAGAGCTTCAGTTCCCTAAATTAATAATAATTATTATTATAATAATGATAGAGCTTCAGTTCCCTAAATTAATAAAAATAATAATGCATAATACATACGTAATAATAATTCAGATTGCTTCTGCTAGCTGGCACAGCTGCTAAGCAGTAAACATGTTTACATCCCTGTGGCAGCAGTTCTCTCGTGCTTGTTTGCATTTTTTTTACAGCCATTTGGACAAATTTCTTTTTTCTAACCATGGGTCCTAGTGATCTACTGCAGTTAGCCTCAAAAATACTCTGTTTTCTCTTACAGTAAGAACATGGGAAGATACTATGGTCAAATTGTGACAGAAATGACTGACGCTTCTGCTGCTGCTGCCTCTGCCACCATACTATAGCCTATTTTATTCATTCTAGAATATATATCATGTTTCTGTGCTGATTATATTGTTTATGTCATACTAGATGAATTGTGATAGATAAATAAGCAGTACAATTGATAATAGCGTCATATTCAAGTATTTTTTCTCGTCTCTCCAGAGTGCAGGAATGAATTAATGGCTTTTCAGTTAATTTAAATGAGGAAAATTAACTTGATATATGATTAAATTGAGTTACAAGCTAGTTCCTGGAATGGATTAAACTCGTAAGTCAAGGTTCCACTGTATTCAGAAAAAGGTGATGAGGGTATCAAATGATTTAGATAAAGAAAAATTGGATATCAAATTGGAGAGGAGTATGGAAGTAGTGAATGTTTTCAGATATTTGGGAGTTGACGTGTCAGCGGATGGATTTATGAAGGATGAGGTTAATCATAGAATTGATGAAGGAAAAAAGGTGAGTGGTGCATTGAGGTATATGTGGAGACAAAAAATGTTATCTATGGAGACAAAGAAGGAAATGTATGAAAGTATAGTAGTACCAACACTCTTATATGGGTGTGAAGCTTGGGTTGTAAATGGTGCAACGAGGAGGCAGTTGGAGGCAGTGGAGATGTCCTGTCTAAGGGCAATGTGTGGTGTAAATATTATGCAGAAAATTCAGAGTGTGGAAATTACGAGAAGGTGTGGAGTTAATAAAAGTATAAGTCAGAGGGCTGAAGAGGGGTTGTCAAGGTGGTTTGGTCATTTAGAGAGAATGGATCAAAGTAGAATGACATGGAGCGTATAAATCTGTAGGGGAAGGAAGGTGGGGGAGGGGTCGTCCTTGAAAAGGTTGGAGGGAGGGGGCAAAGGAGGTTTTGTGGGTGAGGGGCTTGGACTTCCAGCAAGCGTGCGTGAGCATGTTAGATAGGAGTGAATAGAGATGAATGGTATTTGGGACTTGACGAGCTGTTGGAGTGTGAGCAGGGTAATATTTAGTGAGGGGATTCAGGGAAACTGGTTATTTTACATAGCCGGACTTGAGTCCTGGAAATGGGAAGTACAATGCCTGCACTTTAAAGGAGGGGTTTGGGATATTGGCAGTTTGGAGGGATATGTTGTGTATCTTTATAAGTGTATACTTCTAAACTGTTGTATTCTGAGCACCTCTGCAAAAACAGTGATTATGTGTGAGGGAGTTGAAAGTGTTGAACGATGATGAAAGTATTTTCTTTTTGGGGATTTTCTTTCTTTTTGGGTCACCCTGCCTCGGTGGGAGACGGCTGACTTGTTAAAAAAAAAAAAAATTATAACAAAGACAGTAATATACATCTAGAATTTTTATTAAGAAGAAAAAATGTCCAGTAAGTTTTTGGATTTCAAACTAATTACCTTATCTGCAAAACGTACTAGCCATGATATTTTTCATATATTTTTCTAAGGTTTTATTTTCCTAAGACTGTTGCCTGCACAATTTGTTTTAAATTTAAAGTGCTTTTAGATTTTTAACTATGTCCAACACATATGCATGTGATGACTGTGTCCAATGTGCTAGTACACACAATTTTATGTGCCTTCAAATACACCACCTGCCAATATTTTTGACCTTTCCTCAACTGTTTGGGTCTCCTACAACCTCCTCATGCCTTTCAAAACACCTAATACCAGGTGGGTCCATGCAATGCATTATGGGGTAACTCTGCCTAACTAGTGCAAGCAAACAATGAAACCAGAGCTTATTGTACCACCACCACCTTCCCTACCAGTAAACAGGGTGTGCAACTGTCAGGAAGATGCCAAATTTATTATAATTTCACGGTCCTAACAATGGAATTCAACCAATAAGCATACTATGTAGATTTAACTTAGGATCAACTCAATATAGTCAATGTGACTTATTTCCATGTTTCCATGAGTATTATTCATTGAAACAATTGTAATAGCATAAGATTTCCGGTATACAGTAGTCTCGAAGGCACACAGGTTTAATGAACACAAAAATTACATTTCAGTTTATGTAACTCAGGATATTCTTCGAACCTAAATATAAAACATAAATAATTAACCTAGAATAATCCAACAGAGTGAATGTGATTTATTTCCATGTGCTGAGGAGTTTTATACTTTGAAACAATTGTAATTTCATAAGCATTCCTTGTACACAGTGTTAGAGGACCAAAGCAGTAAAAATGGAAAAAAAAATTTATTTGCTATACAGCAGACCATCATTTAGCATGGTAGTTACGTTCCTGAAAATCCCATGTTAGGTAAACTCGTGTTAGATGAACTGAAGAACTTATGGGAAAATAGGATTACATTCCTGGGAGCCCCCAAAAAGCCAAACAACTTTTTTTTCAGGCCTCCACATCTTACAAAAATAAAAGTGAATATGTAGTTTTAGTTCAATGTTGTGATGTATTATGTTGTTTTTACTGCTTAAGACTACAAATGTAACAGAAATAATAGTAATTCTTACCTTAAATTGTGGGTGCTGGTGTTTGTGGATGATTGTGAAGAGAGTGAAAAGTTATGCAGTGGCCCTACTGGGCTGAGGTGGATGGTAGAGGATCTGGTACTAAAGTCGATGGTTGTACTGGAGTGTCTAAGTCAGTCAGTCAAGTCATTCAGTAAGTCAGTGAAGTCACTCATAAGTCATTCAGTCAAGTCAGTAAGCCAGTCAAGTTACCCAGTCAGTCAGTCAAGTCACTCAGTAAGTCAGTCATTCAGTAAATCAGTCATTTAGTCAGTCAGTCATTTAGTAAGCTGGTCATTCAGTCAGTTAATCAGTCAGTCACACAAACTCATGTTTGCCTCTTTTTCTGTGTACAAAGTAACACTTCATTGTGGTTACAGGTTATCTCTTGTCTAATACCTTTGTTTCTTTGTTAATTCTAAAACTTAAGTGCTTGTACCTTTTCGTGCTACTTTCAGCAACACTAGTATGGTTACTGGGTGTCATGATTGCTTGGCAGATACAAGATATAGTAATTAAAATATCATAACACAATTCACAAACACAGCTGCCTTGTAGCAGAGAAGGACTGGACTGGACAGGTATGAATTCCGAATGCTGAGATGGTGGGGTGGTGTCGGGGAGTGGCAGGGGATGGTGGGAGGTCTCCCCGGCTGCTCCACAACAAGGCGGCCACTTAAGCAAAAGAGATTTTTTTTTCCCCACAAACTGAACCAAGTTAAATTAATTATACGTGTTACATAAAATTGTGCCACAATTCTTCAATCATGCAATACTCAAATCATGCCAAATGATGGTCTACTGTAATTTATATTGTGTGTGTGAATATAATGCAGAGAATCCGTAGTTTGGAGATTAGGAGGAGATGCAGGATTACCAAAACTATTATCCAGTGGGCTG